AGGAACCGCTAGCTGCCCGTAGGAACCGCTCCCCCAGCAGAAGAGCATGGCTGAGCTTGATCGCTCAATCGCTCGCTCCTTCACCCGGAGAGTTCTCCCAGTCCAACAAACTGGGGCGGAGCTCAGTCTTCTCCTTGAGCATCACCTCAAGGCGGCTCAGCTTGGATCGACGAGCGTCAGAAAACACTGCCCTCCTGACCAGCCCTGCCCACTGGCCCCGGGCCCTTCCCACTCCTACTGGTTGCCTCTGACCTGGCCTGGGTCTCTTAGGAGAGCTGCTTCTGAAACGTTGCTGGGTCGTGCAGGTGTCAGAAATAGGGAAGAAAACCTCACGAACTCCCCGAAAGTGGCAACTATAAGTAGGAATATTTTCCTCCTGGCTTTCTAAGAACTGTGCTGAGACTAATGTTCTGTTGTCTTCTCCTGGTGGTGCTTGCTAAGAAGGCAAGCTCTCCTTGTTGATGTTCTGCCTGTGACACAGCTCTTAAAGCCACAGGAACTTTGTCTGTCCTTCCTCTTTTTAAGTGAGAGAAAAAAAGTGCAAAACTTTGTATGTTATACAACCAGCTTTCAGGATCATGGGGTAGTTCAATCCACTGAATCAAATTTTCATCATAATATATTGATTCTTCCTCCAGTAACTAGCATGAAAATCAAGAAACTTTGATCTTTAACAAGAAGTAGAGCTGACAGACCTTCTATAGCAGTGTTTCAAACTTGGCAACTTTAAGATGTGTGGACTTCAACTCCCAGAATTCCCCAGCCAGTCGTGCTGGCTGGGGAATAGAACAATGTTTCTCAAACTTGGTAACTGTAAGATGTGTGGACTTCAACTCCCAGAATTCCCCAGCCAGTCGTGCTGGCTGGGGAATAGAACAATGTTTCTCAAACTTGGTAACTGTAAGATGTGTGGACTTCAACTCCCAGAATTCCCCAGCCAGTCGTGCTGGCTGGGGAATTCTGAGAGTTGAAGTCCACACATCTTACAGTTACCAAGTTTGAGAAACATTGTTCTATAGCAAAAGTAAGCTCCTAGCCTCTTCCATGTGTGTAAATACCCATTGTACTCTTTCCTTTTGGGGTAAACAGTGTTATGCAAAATGCAGAAAGGGAGCAAGAAATAACCAAAGAACTAAAGGCATAACATAAAAAAAAGAATTATAATGGCATCAATAGGTTCTACCAACGCCGTTTTTTGAGCCTGTCCATCCTTCATTTCATCCATTACCTTGTTATTTTTACCATTTTACTTCTTAATGTAATTCCTATATAGGCCCAGTCTCATGGCTTTGGGTAGCGTACAGGTAGCTCAACAAGCAACTCAACACATAAAGATAATAATAAAAGCTAAATAAAAAAGATAGCCATCCTCTTTCCCCAGAAGACCTCATGAGCATCAAAGGCCCATTGAAAAAGTGAGGCTTTAAGAAGATTCCCCAAAGCCAGAAGGGAACGGTCCAAATGTCCACAGGGTGTGTGTGGGTGTCAAAAAGACAAGATAGCAATTGTAGCAGCATCTTCCAAATTCCTCCCCATTTGTATATATGCCAGTGTCACACACATGTACATAGATGCAAGACTAAAGCTGAGAAGAAGGATATAGCAAACATCTTCCATAATCCACTGTGGTGCTGGAACCAGATCTCACTGTCCGGTCCAGACTTCTACAGAAAGCTTATTGAGAGCCTTGACTCCTGAAGAAATATGTGGGGTGGGTACTACATGACAGGTCTTCCCTGGGGTGGCCCCCATAGAATTATGAACCCTCTCAGTGTTCCTCAAGCAAGTACAATTGGTGCTATTCCAACATGGTTAAGCCCTTATTGATTGTAGCCACCGATCATAGGACATTTGATTATATTGGTTTTGTGTTTTGTTTTTCTAATGTATGTGATTTTTGCTTTGTTGTTTGCTACGCAAGGGATCGGGGCTGGCTACAAATACTGTTAGATAAAAAGTTGCCAAGAAAATTATACATCAACATGCCCATGTAATTATCAGGAGTGGAGCTCAACCAGGAATAGAACTTTACTTTACCTTATCAAATGAAGTACCACATTGCTCCCATAGAGGGCAGTGTACATTGGAAATATTTTTACATGGGCACACATTCTGCAACAATGGCACAGAAGTAGATACTGTTTGCACCCTTAGACAATGCACTGAAGGATAAGATAAGCAGTGAACATGGAGTGATGTGCAGTAGCTTACTGCTGGAGCCTCAGAATGACAGTTAGGATTAAAGCTCCCCCTGATTAGCACAGTCATGTTTAATTTGGAGGATGAAGAGAGGATGTCAGCAAGGTACAAACAGCAATCAGAGAGTAGAAATTTAAATCGTGTTTCTCTGGGGAGGCCTTTGGCCCAGAAAGGGGATAAAGGAAATAAATGCCTGCTGACTTTTTGTAATTTAAGTTTTTTGTAAGAAGGACAAAAAGACACAAAAGCTTTACAAAAGCTCTTTTGCAAAGTTATAATGGTGATAAGCCAAATAGCTTTCTTATTTTACTTACGAAATAAATCTCTATCTTTACATTAATGTACAGCTGTGTATGATGTGTCTTATAGTCTTAATTCACAGGAATTAACCCCAACTAAACGTAAATGCACTTTGGATCAAACTCCAGCAATAGGTTTAGGCAATCTGTTGAATTCAGTGCTATATATTTTTGATTAAACTTGCATTCAGTTTGTCATCTTCATATAATCAGGTCATGGGATGTCAGTATTTCCACTTCACAGAAAGAAGCTGAGAATGAGAGATACGAAGCTAGCAAATCTGTTTCTTTGAAGTCCACCAATGCCTACAAAATTGACAACTATTAAAAAACATCTAGAACTATTTGAATAGAAAATGTACCCAGCCGTCAAACACTAACACTTTTAAAAGCAGGCATTTTTTTTAGAAAATTCATTATATACACATGTAACAATATTCCATTATATTAATTCATATAATTTGTATATTAAGACAGGCTAATAGCTTTCGTAGCACAGTGATAAGCTGGGACTAAAATTAAATATAAAGAAGACCAAACTAATGAAAATAGGTACAACAACCAGCCATAGAATCGACAATGAAGATATTGAAGTGGTGGATAGCTTCTGTCTTTTAGGATCAACCATCAACCTTGAAGGAACAAGCAGTCAAGAAATGCACTGCAGACTAGCACTCAGTAGAGCAGCCATGAAGGCCTTGGAAAAGATATTCAAATGTGGTGATGTGTCTATAGCTCTAAAGATCAGAATCATGCAAGCCATGGTATTCCCTGTGACACTCTATGGAAGCAAAAGGAGTAGGATAGGAAGAGTATTGACGCTTTTGAACTTTGGTGTTGAAAAAGACTCCTGAGAATACTGGGGACAGCCAAAAATCCAAACAAATGGATCGTTGAACAAATCAACCCAGAGTTCTCACTCAAGGCACAAATGACCAGGCCCAAATGATCCTACTTTGGACACATTATGGAAAGACCCAGCTCTCTAGAAAAGTCTCTAATGCTGGGAAAAATGGAAGGAAAGCGAAGAAGAGGATAACCAGCAGCAAGGTGCATGGACTCAGAGTAACAATGGGTGAACCACTGGAAGACCTGAAAGACCAGGTTAGGGTGCAGATCGTCATGGAGAAAATCTACGTAGTCACTGAGTCAACACCAACTTGATGGCACATAATCAAGAGTGTTCATTATTTTACCATGCTTAATTTCTTGATACCATGTTAGATACTTCTCAGTAGCGGAGATGGACCTGGCAAAATGATGTCCATCAGATCACGAAAAGTCAGAAGTAATGGAATGAGTGAACAACAATTAAATTTGTGATGTATAATATCTGAGTATGCTATTACTTCCCATGTGTATTTTTAGTTCTTATGTAGCACATGTTATGTGTTGTGCCAGCTAGGATTAAGACAGGTAGATAGCAATGATCTCATACCACCCAAGGAAAACAGTTACTTTAATTATCTTGATTTAGATTTCTATGTATGGAGAAAGATGAGGAAAATTAGCAGAGGTACATTGGATTATTAGGGGAATGCATGTTCTTTTTAGATTAGCATCGGTTGCTTTCCTGTCAGTCATTGCAAGCGAACGTGAACATTTCACATAAGCAGAAATGTTAAAAGGCACTTGGAACCACTTAATGTGTAACAAAACCACCTTGCCCTTCAGGAAACGTGGATGCATAACTTTATTTGGAAAGCAAGAGAGTTTAGGGTGTAACCAGGTGTAACTGGGTGTAGGCACAATAATTTTAAACAATTAATGATATGAAAACAGATGCAATTTAACTGATTTCTCTTACAGCTATAATGTGCAATTTATTTCCAACTGTACTATACTCTAGTACAAAGAGTCCAAATATACTCTAAGAGTATATTTATTGTGTGTGAGAGAGTATACATATATGCCCAGAAACTGCCCCCTGCCCCCGCTCCCCCGCGGTGAAATACTGTATCTAGTTTATGGAAGAATTCCAAAGGTTATTGTAATTTTATTTTGTCCTACCTGAAATTTTAGTGCTCCTAAGTATAATGATGCTTATATTTAAGTATAATGATACTTATTATAATAA